GAGAGGAAGGTACAATGGGAATTTGTATTTTGTCATAGATACAATTAAATGATACCACAGGCTCATAGGATGGGAGTGGCAAGATGCACACTTTTAGAAGATCAACTGCATTACAGGCATTCAGAGCTGCCCTGGTATCTGAGTCCATCTCTCACTGACCCAACACAGCCAGCCTTCCTCAGTCCAGACCTGCCTGTCACTAATCCAAAGAGGCAATCCTTGTGCAATGTATTCACTGTTCTGTGCCCTGGGCTTATCGCCTGAAGTATACCAGGTTTTCAATGCTACAACACAAAAATTCCTTTTGCTCTACTACCCAATTTACTTAGTTTTCAGAGTCCAGGCAGGAGAGTAATGCCAGAGTGCTCTTTCTCCATGAGGGAACCAACAAACAGGTCACTAACAATACTGACACGCCAAGGGGTGGCCTTGTGGCCAACACCACAAATTGAGGGAGAAGCAGGCTGGCACTCTACCAATTCCAGTTCCAACAGCCTGGCAATGTTTCAGTTCAGGACAGACTGTATACATGTCACATACAACACTGGCGCCATGGTCCCATTGCCTAGTGTCTCCACAGCCATCTTTCTTTGTGTGAGACCTGCATAGTGTTCCCACAATGATAGTAAGGCATGTATGACTATAATACTGACCATCCCTCAAGTGAGGGGCATAGAGGGAGAGGGTACCAGCTTGTGTCAACACTTCTAACTGATGTTTTCCCCAGGTCCCCTCAGTTTGTACCCAAATTTCCAGATTCCCAGGACCTAAAGGGTCCAAGTGAACCCGAAGCTTCAGCAGTTTAAACAGAAAGCCAAGGCATTAACTTTCAGTCTGTCTCTCTACCCCCCGTGTGTCTCCCCCCCTCTCAGACACACACACACTCTACATCTTCAAGAACATCTAACCAAGAAAGGCACCAGCCCAGGCGTCTAATGAAAAGGCAGCAGAAGGTGGTAGAACGGGAGGCTGGTAGAACAGGAGAATGGTATGATTCACCACGACAGCCCACAACAGCCTGAGCCTCCAAGTCTACTTCTGTTTACAAAAAAAAAAAAATTATTGGAGTAATGAGATGGTGTGTATGTGATGGGGCACGCCTTTAATCCCAGCACGTCAGAGGCAGAGGCCAGTCTAGTCTACAGACTGAGTTCAGGCCATTCAGGGACACATTGCAAGACTGTCTCTAAATACATGAGTTTATTTATCTTAAATTATTTATTGCTGTAATTTTGAAAACAATGTTTGTGATATAAAGATGATTTCCAAACAACTAACGAAAGTAAATAAAACAAAGGGATGGAAACACTGAAGAGGATGAGACCACCTTCTTAAAGGCACATGATAGGCAAGCTTAAACTTGTTATGTAATGGCACATAGCTGTAATTCGAGCACATGAGGGTGCAGGCCCGAGAATCAGAAGTCATCTGACTTACGTCACACAAGTGTCAAGGCACAGACACACTCACACATCACACAAGTGTCACAACATAGACATACCCACATGTCACAATAATAAGTAAAAGTAGGTCTCCTAGTAAACACACAGATATATACAACCAGTCTCTTTAAAGTGCATCTTTTATAAATAGTCCTCAGCCAGGCTTGGCGGCATCACCCGACATCTTGAGGGCTCTGAAAGCTAAGGCAAGATGGTTGTCTTGAGCCCAAGAGTTTCAAGTCACCCCAGATAACATAGCAAGACTTCAGCTCAAAAGTAGAAAACGCATATATACTGCTGTGATATTACATAACACACAATATGTATAATGAAGAGCCTTCACTGACAAGCCACATACTGAACTCTGCCCTCTTCCTGAGCAAATCCCCTTGAGGCACGCAGCATGTTCACCAGCAATGGGACATAAAGTCACTGTGGCTTCCCAAGCTTACACAAGTGACACAGGTGGCCACCCTACAGACCACCACCAGGCAAATCAGCCCCAACCACCAACTGCCACAAAGCTCAGATCTTCAGTCAGGGCAGAGAGAACCTGCTAGAGTGTAATAGGAGTGCATGCCTAGTTTTATAAGCATGATTTCCTAAGAATGGCGTTAAACAACAAAGGACTGGTTACAGATAACACTTCATTTCTACAAAGCAAGAGCATGCAACATTGGGGGACAGGCTTCCCAGGTTCTGAAAATGATAAGAGAAAACATTTGTTGGCTGGGTGTCACTCAGTGATAGAAGGCACGCCCAGCATGTGTGAAGCTCAATTCAATCCCATCTCTGCCACCATTGTCACCCAGAACTCAGACGGGAAGGCACAGCTGATGCTCCATAGATCAGAGAAACCCAAGAGGAAGGTGGACGGCAAAGCTGCATGCTTCAGATAAACTCAAGTCTGCTACAAACACCCAGGAGACTTGGCTTATCAGTCAATGCTTATGGAGTTGTTCAACGACAAACAAAGTAACAAAATAAACTATAAAGAAACACTGAGATGACTCGGGGGTAGAGTGCTTGATGCTAAGCCAGATGACCTGAGATCAATCCCTAGAACTCACAGAGAAGGAGGGAATGCCAGAATGCTGCCCTCTGACACACACACACACACACACACACACACACACACACACACACACACCCCCCCACCCTCACACACACACACACACGCCCACACGCACACAACCACCCACACACACACCCACCCCCCCACCCACCCACCCACCAAACCCCAAAATCACATAAAAAAGAACAGTGCAGATCACACTGCGACTGCATTTGAGGTTATGAATTTCCATCCTGGTGTGCAGGATGATTTTTGCAGCATGCAGCCACATTCTAAAGGAGCAGTTCCCTGTGAATCAGCGCTCCAATCAATACCAGCTATAGTGGAAAATAATTTTGCAGGAATTCACAAAAGAGGCTGTGGAATTTAAAATACAAAATTATGAGAAACAGCAAAAGTGTTTATAAGAGTAATAGAATGAGCCAGGCACAGAGGCTGAGGTAAGAGGTTCTTTACAGCCCAGAGTTCAAGGCCCCCTCAAACCTGAGCAACAAAGCAAGATCTCAAGAGGATCCGGGTTGGATTCCCAGCACACACCTTTCTGTGGCTCCAGTTCAAGAGGATCTAATGTCCTCTTCTGGCCTCAATGGGCACTGCACAAACGTGGCACACAGAAAGACATGCAGATGAAATACCCAGACACATAAAGCATTGTTTAAGAATCTTCTTTTTAAAAACTAACTTGGGAGGTATATTGCTGGCGGTTTTTCTTGTCCCACCTAGGTCCCGCCACCGCTTCAGCCCCAAATGAGCACACAAAGACTTATATTAATTATTAAATGTTGGCCAATGACTAGGCTTCTTCTTGACTAGATCTGTCTTAATTATTAACCCATAACTACTAATCTATGAATTTCTACATGGTCTTGGCTGACTGGAGATTGTCTGGACCTTCTACACCTTTGTCGGCTATATGTCGTCTGTTTCTGGCAGGCTCTCTCCATCTACCTTTCCCAGAATCCTCCTTGTCTCCTAGCCCCACCTATCTTCCTGCCTCATTGGCCAAACAGTGTTTTATTCATCAACCAATAATAGAAACATATACAGAAGGACACCCTCCCCATCAGAGGTAAATATTTATATTTATAATATCCACACTCTTGGCTCCATGATAAAAGATTCTTCAAGTGGCAAACAACCAAAATACAAATTTATTTTGGAAGAAAGACTAAGGCAATGATGGAAAAAACAACAAACTTTCTTCAAACAACATTCTGGCCTGGCATGATAGTGCATGCCAGTATCCCAGTAGTGGTGGGGCCAAAATGGGAGGATTGGGAGTTCAGTGCCAGCCTAAGCTACATAGCAGTCAAACAGGGAGAGTAATGCTGATTGTGAGGCTTAGTCACACCTAGTCAAAGTTATCCTCTGACCTCTCCACCCAAACCCATGACTTGTACATACACTGACGTGCACCACACACTTATACACACAATACAAAAATATATTTAAAAACAATGAAACCCACAACAAATCAAGTAATCCCAGCAGAAGAAGAAGCAGGAGGATCAGAATGTCAAAGCCAGCCTCATAGTAAGTTCAAGGCCAGCCTTGGCTACATAGTGAATTCAAGGCAGCCTTGGCTACATGAGTCCCTGTCTCAATATATATATATATATATATATATATATATATATATATGAAAATATATATATATATTTTGAGATGATAGGGTATTGTAATGATAATTCTTTCCACCGGCCACCCAAGCCCCGCTGCCACGCTAGGGCCTCCAAACAACACACAGAGTCATGTTAGTTACAATGCTGCTGGCCAATGACTAGGATTTCTTATATGCTAGCTCTGTCCTAAGTACCAACCATAACCATTAATCTATATTTTTATAAAGACATCCTCTCTTGCCGGGATCACATGGTGACTCCACTACTACATTTCCCAGAATCCTCCTTCTCTCCTAGTGCCGCCTATCTTGCTTCCATATTGGCCAACAGTGCTTTAGTTATCAACCAATAAGACAAACATATACACAGAAGGACTTCCCCCACCAGGGTATGTGTGTGTGAAATGCATGGATAAAAGCAAAATACAACATATATGAAAATGTCATGTGCACTAAAAATTATTAAAACTTCACCTCAAAATTAACACATAGTCACCACAGCAATAGTCTCAATAGTGATAGCAACAGGATCCCTTATGCATGAAAAAGAATAAAATACTGTAAGTGATCTACAGCCAAGTAACTGAAGAAAGAAAAGCACAAAGCAAGAAGAAACAGCACGTCAAAACAGTGAGTTACATCTCCCGTACAACTTTCCCCCCGACTCAATAACTACTCCTTAGCACTTCTTCCTGGTCCCAGCTCACAAACAAGAGGTGACTCAGGAGTTAACCAACCAGCTAGCCTGAATCAACTTAGTAGTCAAGGGTCAACTGTCAGAGAGATCCAAGTCTACAGAACTGTTCTAATGGTTTTATAATTAAGCAAAAGAATAATCTCAAAGTGGCAGAAGGCATCTTACCAAGGTGATGTCTCGGGAGGCTGCGGCTGCACTCATATGTAAACTGGGTTGTCTCACGGAGCTGCTGCAATCCAGGGCACGGGCAAACGTCCCAACAGCACTGAGGAAGCCGAACACAGATGAGGACGGTAAGTTACTCCTTTAATAAATGGTTAACATAGATTTTATGGTATATTTTGCCTACATGCATGTTAGAGCACCATGTGCATACCCACTGCTCAAGCATGCCAGAGGGGGAGGTTGGATCCCTTGGAACTGAGCTGCCATGTGGGTGCTGGGAACTGGGGTCCTCCGTAGGAACAGCAAGCACTCTTAACCACTGAGCCATCTCTCCATCCCTGATGGGGGATGTCCTTTTGTATATATATTTCTCTTATTGGTTGATGAATAAAACAGTGATTGGCCAATGGCCAGGCAGGAAGATATGTAGGGTTACCAGGCCAGGAAGAAGGCTGGGGAGAGGAAGGCAGAGAGAGGCCACCAGAGACGCCATGTAGTTGAGGAAGGAGTAGCAGGTCCAGACCCTTCTCTGGTAAGCCAAGACCATGTGGAAATACTTAGATTAATAGAAATAGGTTAATAATTAAGTCAAAGAGCTAGGCAGTAAGAAGCCCTAGCCAACAGTTTATAAATTAATAGATGTCTCTGTGTGCTTATTTGGGGCAAAGTAGCTTTGGGACCAGGCTGGAAAGAAACTTCAGCTACACATTCCCTCTGTCCTAGTTTGCTTTCTAGGGCTGGAATAAATACCATGAACAAATGCAGCTTGGGGAGAGAAAGGTTTGTCTGGCTCACATGTCCCAGGCCACAGTCCCATCACCGAGGGCAGTCAAGGCAGGAAACTGGAGGCAGGAACTGAAATGGAGACCATGAAGGAGTGCTGCTTACAGGCCTGCTCTCCTTGGCTCTCTCAGTTTGTTTTTTTCTTATGGCCCAGGACAACCTGCCTAGGGGTGGCACCACTCACAGTGGGCTAGGCCTTCCCATATCAATCTTAATCGAGAAAACACCCCTTAGACTTACACACAGGTCAATCCAAGAGGGGCATTTTCTCAATTAAGTTTCCCCTTCTCAGATGACCCCAACTTGTAGCAAGTTGCCAAAAAACTAACAAGCACACCTGCCTTTTTACTTTTATTTTTTCATTTTATAATTTGCATATAAGTAGGGTGTATGTGTGTGAATGTGTGTGTGTAAATAGGGTGTGTGTTTATTTTGAGGGGGTGCAAAGTTTTGCTTATGTGTGTGTGTGTGTGTGTGTGTGTGTGTGTGTGTGTGTGTAAGTAAACAGGCCGTGTGTGTATGTGTGTGTGTAAGTAAGCAGGCTGTGTGTGTTTGTGGTGTGTGTGTGTGTGTGTGTGTGTGTGTGTATGTGTGTGTGTTTGTGTGGGCGGGCGCAAAGGCAGAGGTCAGTTCCAGTGTTAGTGGTAGGAGCTGTCCCCCTTATTTGTGAGACAGTCGTTCACATTAGAACCTAATCTAGGACAGCAAGCTAGGGAACTCCAGAGTCTGCCTATCTGCCTCACAGCACTGGGCTCACTAGCACATGCCCGTCGGTCTCTATGGGTCCTGGGGTTGGGTTTATGCATTCCTGTATTAGCAGCATGGGCTCTTACTACCTGCCTCCCCACCCCTGCTTTTATAGTTTAACTGGAAGCAGGAACTAAAGCAGACACAATGGAGGAGGACTACATTTTGGGGTAATAAATAAAAAACTGTAAAGAAAGGAAAAGGGTTGTTGGACGTTTGAGAATTAAGCACCAATTGAAAAGCATTTTCTCTTTTAAGATTTAATACAATCTGAGTAATCCTAACTGAAAGTAAAATTTTCAAAAATTTGAAACTCCATGACACAATCAAAAATTCCATGCTATTTTTTTCATATACAAAATTATTTCAGATTTTGCTTGAGGGGCTAGAGTGATGGCTCAGCAGTTAAGAGCATTGGCTGCTCTTTCAGAGGACCCAGGTTCAATTTCCAGCATCCACATGACAGCTCACAACTGCCTGTAACTCCACCTCCAGGAGATCTGATACTCTCACACTGGCATACACACAGGCAGAACACCAAATCACATAAAATAAAATAGAGTAAAAACAATAAATCACTAAAAAAGATATTGTATGAAATCACTTTAAAGCTCTGTAAGATACATACAAAACATAAAAGAATTTTGCGTTCAACTCATCACATATACGTAGATGCCAAAGCAGAACTGAAACACAAACCAGGACTCTAAGAAGCTCAGGGGGAAGCGCTTTAGCATATGTAGGTAATTATCATTCAAGCAAGAAAAAAAAAACCAAACCTGTGTGGTCACAGAGAAGGAAAGGGAAGACAATCTAAAATGCCAGCGGACACATCATTTGGTATTCATATGTGCTTAAATATAGGAGAAGGAAATTCGCTGAAAGTTTGGCTACCGCTGCCGAACAAGTTCTAAATACCAATTGTGAAATCCAGTAACATTTTTCACACAGAATGTTATAATAGAAACCCCTTCCTGTGGAGACCCAAAATAATACAGTTTTTACTATATCACTAAAAGAAGCAACTTCCACAGCACTGATTCCATTTGTAATAATCTAGATCCTTTCTGTATACAAGGAACCTTAACCCCAAGAAGTGCAGGATCCATGGACTGCCTGCTTTGCTGGACAGGATAGCTGGTAAAGACTTCCTCATATCATTTTACTTAATATTTACTACGTACAAGAAAAGCAAACCCTACCACATTATACAGATATTCAGTTCTCACAAAGTGAGTATGTCCAGGGTCCAACCAACACCCAAGTGAAGAAACTGAAGGTGGCCAACCCTTCCCACACTTTGTCCCAAAAGGAACCATCTTCCTATTCTAAGAAACAAAACAAAACAAAGCCACAGCTGAGTGTGGCAATCCACATCATCAACCCAGGAGGTCGAGGAAGGAGGATCTCTGTGGGTTCCAGGCCAGTCATGGTTATATAGTGAGACCCTGTTTCATACAAAACAAACAACAAAAGCTAACAACTACAAAAACAAAAATCACACCATGACAGTGTCTCGCTAGGGAGCTGAAGCTTGCCTGTGACGTCACCTAGGCTTCCCAAGTGCTGGGATTATAGGTGTGTGCCTTCACTCCTGACTGACACCACCAGGATACTAAGACCACAGATTAGTTTTGCTGACATGAAACCACACACAGTAGACTTGCTGCTGCTGTTTTGTAGCCCAGGTTGGCTTAGAACTATGTAGTCCTGACTACTATCAAACTCAAAATTCTTGGCCTTGCGCTGCCAAGCACTGGATTACAAATCTATTATAGGCCCCACACCTGAATGCACAATTCTCTCTCTCTCTCTCTCTCTCTCTCTCTCTCTCTCTCTCTCTCTCTCTCTCTCTCTCTCTCTCTCTCTCTCTCTCTCTCTCTCTCTCTCTCTCTCTCTCTGTCTCTCTCTCTCTCTCTCTCTCCCTCTGACTGCTATCAAACTCAAAATTCTTGGCCTTGCGCTGCGAAGCACTGGATTACAAATCTATTATAGGCCCCACACCTGAATGCACAATTCTCTCTCTCTCTCTCTCTCTCTCTCTCTCTCTCTCTCTCTCTCTCTCTCTCTCTCTCTCTCTCTCTCTCTCTCTCTCTCTCTCTCTCTCTCTCTCTCTCTCTCGTTTAATCCATCTAAGTTGTTAGCTGGAGATATTATCCTCTGAAATGGTATTCTCTTCTGTTTCCTCACCCCATCTCTAGGCCAGGTTGTAGCTGCTGCTATTAAAGCCATTTGCATGTACATCTTCCAGTCCCCAGGATGCTTTTCTCCTGAGTGTGATGTTAGCAGTAACCCTTACAGGATGTGTGGAAGACAAGAGCAAACAGGTTTTCAAAGCAGCTGTACCAGCTGATAGTCCCACCAGGTGGACAAGACAACGCCCACTGTTCCATACCTTTACCAACTACAGCACTTCAGAACTGCACGGCTTGGCGAGTATAACTGAGACCATGTACCAGCACTTCAAAGTAAGAGGGTGGTGGTATGTGTGTGTGTGCGTGTGTGCGTGTGTGCGTGCATGCGTGCGTGCGTGCGTGTATGTGTGTGTGTTAACAACCGCAATAATGTGATTGAGATAGGCACTGGGCATGATGTCTAACACCTGTATTCATAGTATCCAGGAAGCTGAGACAGGGGGATTGGTACAAGTTTGAGGTCAGTTTTGCTATAGAGAATGAGGCCCTGTTTAAAAAAATAAACAAACAAACAAAAAACCCTAAAAATAATTGGTTTTAATGTGTATTTAGATTCAGTATTTTGGGGATTTTGTCTGTGTAATTAAACGTTTTAAAGTAGTTGTTATAAAAAGACACCCTCATTCAGGTTTCATAAATGTGGACAGCAAACTATAGTCTGAGAAAGAAAAAAAGATCAGAATGCAAATCAAATTGGAAAACTGCAGGTCTCCCCAACAACCCACCATGCAGGGACTTTCCTGAGCATATGGCCAGCGCCATATCCCTGGCTCATTGCTTCTTCCTACTTTTCAGCCTCCTGCTCTATTGGACGTCTGCTGCCCTGGCAATATACACCTAATACCTCCATCCAATCATCCCGCTGTAAGCATAGAGGCTGTGCTAGTTTGAATGTAATAGGCCCCAATAATCTCATAGGGAGTGGAACTATTAGGAGGCGTGGCTTTGTTGAGTGGGTATGACCTTATTGGAGGAAGTGTGTCACTGTGGGGGTAGGCTTTGAGGTTTCCTATGTTTTTCATGGTTTTCAATGTACCATCCAGTGTTTCTGACAACTTCCTGTTGCCTGCAAGACGTAGAACTCTCAGCTATTCCTCCAGCACCATATTTGCCTGCATACTGCCATGCTGCCTGTCATGATGATAAGAGACTAAACCTCTGAAACTTTCAGCCAGTGCAATTAAATGTTTTCCTTATAAGAGTGGCTGTGAGGCCAGGCAGTAGTGGCGCTTGACTTTAATCCCAGCACTGGGGAGGCAGAGGCAGGCAGACCTCTGTGAGTTCCAGAACAGCCTGGACTACAAAAGCTAGTTCCAGGACAGCCTCCAAAGCCACAGAGAAACCTTGTCTCAAAAAAAAAAAAAAAAAAAACAAAAAACAAACAAAAAGAGTTGCTGTGGTCATGGTGTCTTTCCACCATAAAAACCCTAACTAAGGCTCTGAACCCTAATTGTCTGGCCACAGTTTGAGTGTGACCTTCCACAATGACTGTCCTTATAAACAAGGGTGTCTGAAGACAGTCTAGGACTATTTCAACAGAAAATAAGAGACTATCACAGAGACCCTTCCACCTATTATTTGGGTTAAACTGATTCAATATTTTGCCATATCTGATTCATGTAAAAAAGTAAACATTATAAACTTGGTTGCAGTCTCTTATAGCCATAATGTACAATATATCCATTAATGAAATAAAAACAGTTTGCACACTACATGGTCTTTTCAAATAAATGAACACAGTATAAACACATAAACAATCATACTTTGTGGACCTTCATTCAATATTTGAGGATTTATCTTTGTTACACAAATTCAAATTCTCTCATTTTAATGGATATAAAGTACTATCATACTGTGTATGATTATAACTCATTCATTCATCAGTTGATTGCTGGTGTCCATTGAGGGCTTTTCCTAATTTATCTACCATGTTAATCTCATTCACTTTCTCTTTTGTGCCAGTTTTCCCCACAAGCCTCATTTACTTTTATAACTGAGGAAATAAAAATAAAATCCTGCCCCTACTTATTGCTTAAGGAAAAAGCCAGGTGGAAAAGCAAGGCAACGAAGCCTTCCGGGGAAGCCTTCCGGGGAAGCCTTGTGCAAGCAGTGGTCTCCTTCTTACACAGCCTCACATGGCCTCTACCCTCTTCTCCCTCTCACCTTCATTTGGACTTATTTTGTTTTTGTTTTTGTTTTTAGACAGTCTCTGGTAGCCCAGGCTACCCTCAAATTCACCATGATCCCAGGCTAGTTCTGAATTCCTGATCTCTCTGCCTTTACCTCCCAAGTACTGGGATTACAGGTGTGTGCTGCAACCCCTGGACTGAATGACACATTTGAACAGCAATGTCCAAGAAGGTGTGCACTTTCTTCCTTGGGCTCTACTTTTAATAAACCATATACATAGTATTCATTTATGCTAAGCCTATCCTTTTTGTTACCGTTGCTGGCTCAGGCTTTCAGCAGTGCTGAGGATTAGAGCTGGGATGCTGTACAGGCCAGGCAAGCAAGTACTCCACCCCAGCCCTTGCTTCCACTTCTTAATTAAAATTAAACCTTTTCACTTATAACAAATTAACAATAGTAAATCACATTACTTAGCGGACAATGTTAACTAGACATTGGGTTTTCTCACAGGTCTAGAAAAATTCAACCAGTGGGGTGGGGGGCTGGCATGTGAAGAAAGTATATACACCAGACATGAGGGCACACATCTTTAATTCCAGTCCTCAGAAAGCAAAGGCACTGGATCTCCGGAAGTTCAAAACTAGCAGGGCTACACAGTGAGACCGACTAAAAAAAAATAAAAAGGAGGGAGGGGGATGGAGGGAGAGAGGGAGGGAGGGACGGAATAGGGGCTGCAGAAATTGCCACTCTCACTGAGGACCTTGGCTTTGTTCTCAGCACCCACGTGGTAGGGCACAATTATCTGTAACTCTAGTTTCAGGAGCTGCAATCCCCTCATCTGTTCTTCAAAAGCAACAGGCACACATATAGTACATATACATACATTCAGGTAAATACCCACACATATAAAATCACATTTTTTTTTAAAAAAAAGGAACTAATTAATTAACTAATTAGTTGTTTCATGAAAAGACTTGACTGGATAATGGCATACTCACCGGGCTACAACTAAAAACTGGTCAATCTGTCGATCTGTAAGTGGACTATTGGGATCCCAAACTTTAACTTCCAATTTTGATTGTTCCCTCTCATCTGAGTCTCCTGCACAAAAAACAAAGGGAAGAGGGCGCTGTTATCCACCCTTGGCATATGGCTGATGACCATGGCAACTAATGCGTAGGAAACGCTCAAATGTCAAGTAAACAGTGGTTACATCTGGGTGCATCCTTTGACAGCAGGTGTGCAGAGATGGTGATACCAGCAAACCAACACTGTGGCATGCATGAGTATCAGCACCAGAATCAACACCAGCAAGGTGTCCTCATGCATGCCTATAATCCCACTTGGCGGTAGACACTGGAGAAGGGACACAAGTTCCAGGTCAGCAAGGACAACACAATGAGGCACCATCCCAACAACAGAAAACTAATTACAAGACTGTATAGCTTCCCACTTCTTTTTTTCACATAAAGCTGGAGAAACACAGATCCAGAAATGTGCTTTAACAGACAACCATTTCTTCAGTATATGCCAGACAAGCACCCAGCGGCACTCCAAGCTGGAAAGACCAAGGCTGTACCATACATCCTAGAAGCCCTTTCCTTGACAATTGGAAATATCTGCTTCCTAACTAAAATTCATCTTAGTTGTACCAGCTGCCACTGACTGGCAATTTTTACGTTATATTTAAATCAGAAACGCCCAAGGATGCCATTTATCACCATTTTTGTTGAATATTGCTCCAAAACCTCTGGATGATATAGTGGGATATGAATCAAAGGAATAATAAGTTACTAGAATAGCATCATAAATATGAATATAAAAAGCTCAGTGAAATTCCAAAGAAACTATAATATAACAGAAAATTCACATTCACTGTGACAATGAAAATAAGAAATACAAATAACATTGGCAGTATATTTATATAATTATTAGAACTTCCAAAGGAAAGATGATTTGAATAAACAAACAGTGGAGTGTTGAGTCTTTCTGATAGAATTTTAGCACAATTCTCGCATAGGATAAATTTATGAGAACTTAATTTTAGGAGTTTATTTCATTAATCTACACGTCAAATACTATTAAGCTAATAAGAAATAGGATTAACTCTGAATGGGATTCTAGTACAGCGCAACAGTGAACCAAGCAATGTTGAGCTCAGTTTGATCCCCAAGACCACAAAAAGAAACAAGTGGATTAAGTACAGAAACAGGGACTGGGGCACAGCTTGCTAACATGCCCCAAGCCCTGGGTTCCAGCCCCAGTACCACATAAATCCAGGCTTGGTGGTTTTGCCAGCTCTTGGGAGATGAAGGTAGGAAGAGGCCAACCTAAGCTACATGAGACCCTATCTCAAAAATTAAGAAATATACTAGAGCAAAAATCAATCCATTTGAAAATTTAAGTACTATTATCATATAAATAATAACTGACACTAACTGAACACTTATAGCATCCCAAGAAGCCATTATAGCAGGTTTTCTCAAGCTAGACATTTGACACTTGGGGCTGAATACATTCTGCGCATTGTCCCATGTTTGGCAGCATTAGGGGACTTTATCTAAGGTGTGCCTATAGAATATCACCTACCTACTTTCTTCCCCAATATGACAAAAATGTTTATACATTGCCTAATGTCCCCTCGGGGACAAACTTGTCCTGTTGTTGATAATTACTTTTCTGTATGTCTGCAGTGTATATCTGCTTATACTCAAATTTAAAGGAAGACTATTCAATGTGACCATGAAGGGAGGAAGGGCAGACAGTCAGCACCCCTCCAAGTCCATCTTCGTGGTCCTGACCAGGGATGCTGGTTTAAGTAGAGGGCCGCAGCTAAGCACAACTAAGCTTAGCTTTAGAGTGGCATCTAGCCTTGCCAGTGAATTTGTTAATGGCCACTCCCCTTTGGGCGTGGCTTCAGTTAGGGACAGAACCGGAAAGAGTGGAGCATAGGGCTCGAATCAGATCAGGAGGGCAGAGACTGCATCTTCTGGAACAGGAAGGCTGCGGCGGTTCTTTCCTATCATCTGTGTACGTTGTTCCCTAATAAAACACCCATTTATCATTTATCTTGGGTTCAGTGAACTCAATTTCCCCCTCCTTCACACCTTGACTAAGGTGTGCCCTGCCCATCACTGACTCTGCTCCAGTCTCTCCTGCAAGGCAGTCAAATGAGTTAAAAACTGTATGAGTCTGGGCATGGTGGTACAAACCGTTAATCCCAGCACTGGGCAGGCAGGAGCAAGTGGACTCTGTGAGTTCCAGGCCAGGCTGCTCTGCAAAATAAGCTCCAAGCCAGCTAGGTCTACATAGTGAGATCCTGCTCAAAAAAACAAAACCAAACAAACGTTTTAAAACAACTGTGGCCGGGTGTTGGTGGTGCATGCCTTTAATCCCAGCACTCGGGAGGCAGAGGCCGGTGGATCTCTGTGAGGCTAGCCTGGTCTCCAGAGCGAGTGCCAGGATAGGCTCCAAAGCTACACAGAGAAACCCTGTCTCGAAAAAACCAAAAAACTAAAAAACAAACAAACAAAAAGAAACTGTGAAGTCTCTTTTCTGGAGACTAGGATGCCAAGCTGGCACCAGGGTTCAGCTTTTTCCTGTTCCCAGCATGAGATTCCTAACACAGTGCTGAGAGATCTGCATCTACAAAATTAGTCATTGCAAACAACACGGTTGAGCTGGGGGTGGAGTTAGTTCATCGGTTGAGCATCATCAGAGAAAGAGAGGGTGAGAGAAGACAATTACAAGGTTTATTGGGAAATAGAACTATTAAAACCTAGGGAACTGTCCTCAGTGCATTTAAAGGAGCAAACCGTAAGGGCCATAACTGAAACATTGCCTAAATGAAAGCTCCACTGACATTTGCACGGAGCAAAAAGGTCTGTTGATCTTTATCTCCTTAAACCACCACCTCTAGAGGCCAATGAGATGGAGATTCTGGCACAGAGTTTCAGTGGAATTAAAAACCGAATCCGAGGTGCAGGAGTGTTTTCCCTTTTGCAAAACTAAGCTGCCCAGGTGGCTCTTCCATAGCAGAGCAGTGCAACAGATTCCAGATTCTGGAGCCACAAAACCAGCCTCCTGGAGGCTTGTGCTGGATGGAGGTGCTCCTCCGGAAACCCTAGCTTCTCCTAAGCTCACCCAGCACTTCGGGAAGCCCATAGGTAGGACACTGTTCTACACTATCCGCTGATAGTTAACTGTTTCATGACTACAGGTGAGCCAATCTTGTTTCTAAAACACATAATATGCACAATTAGTTATTTAGCCCTCAAAAGAGAAGCCCCCCGCCCCCAAAACTCACAGTCTGCTGCTGACGGTAAAACATCCACTCATCACAATGACAAAGGCACACCCACATCCTTCCTTCCTTCCTTCCTTCCTTCCTTCCTTCCTTCTTTCTTCTTTTCTTTCTGGTTTTCTGAGATGGGGTTTCTCTATATAGCCCTGGCTGTTCTGGAATTCATTCTGTAGACCAGGCTGGCCTTGAACTCACAGAGAACCTCCTGCCTCTTCTGGGATTAACAGAGTGTACCACCACTGCCCGGCCCACATACTCTTTCTTTAAAGAGAAAGAAAAGGTCAGATGGGTGGAACTATTTCCCAAGGCTATAATTAGAACCCATTACCTACATTTTACCAAAATCTCAGCATCCAGGGTCCATCTTAGTTTAACCAATTAACAGTTTAAAATATCATCTATAGAATAGACTTCTTTCTTCAAATTCTAGTGTTATAATACATTTAAATTATAATTCTAAATTTCCTACATGACTTCCTATTTTTCCATGGTATAGTCACACTAGATAGTGAAAGGTTCAGGCATTATGCTTGAAAGGTTCAGGCCTTAATGCTGATCGGCTCTGCCTCTTTAAGAGACAGACCCCACCCCCTGACAACAGTCAGGGCACACACAGGGAAGTGCCAGCACCACATCACCCACCACGCATGCCCTCGGGCATGGAACCTCAGTGCGCATGCATAGTCTTCCCTTTAAAAGTTCCAACTTGCCTGCTGCTCTCTCTCTACACTCGCTCTCTACTCTCTGCTGCTGCTTCTTTGCTCTCTCTCACCTACATACTCTCTCTGCCTCCATGGCGGTCAGCCATTACCCCTGTTCCTCTTCTCTCTTTAGTCTCCATACTCTGCTGGGCCTAATAATAAACTGGTTAACATGTCTCATCCACCTCTTTTCCTCTTTTTCTTTATATCTAATTTAAACAAAAACATAACAATGCTGGCCTTCCCCTGTTACCTGGCGGAACAGGCAATACCCTGGTCAGCCCAGGGTTCCATGGGAACTAAGTCTGCACGAAGGTGCAGAGGACCCCTTTAATTCCTGCCCATTTACGCTCTCTCTACACTTCTCTCTCTGCTTCTGCTCTTCTCTCTGTCTCTCTGTCTCTCTCTCTCTCTATGGCGACCAGCGATGGCGGGCAGCCATTTACCCTGTTTCTCTTCTCTGCGGGGCCTATAATAAAGTGCTTAATATGTCTAACATGTATCATCCACCTCTTTTCTTCTTTATTTCTAATTTCAACAGGTAGTCTATTTGAATTTAATTTAATATTTAAAATCAAATCAAATATTTAAAATCAAATGTTCACACTATGTACTCATTATTCCAGATCTGAAGTGTTTGCTAAGGGATGGTGAGTCTTAAGTGAATCCTAAAGCACCGCAACTGTCTTCTAGAGTCCATCAGGACATGTTCACAAAGAAAGGAAACCTGTTACCAGATTCTGGTCAGCTGCTGCTACCACCTACCCAGGATATTATTCCAGGTCTGCCTCCCATTCCATGCAAATTATGATCTGGCACTGGTCAAAAGGCACCCTCTGGAGATTGCCAGCCGGCTCAGAGACCTGGAACTGCAGAGAGTCCTGAATACCGTTCTCAAATACACCACTTTCTAATGTTCATTGGTCCTGCAGCCAGGTACTCCACTGTCTACACTGCTGTGTGGTGGCAATGTCTCGGTTTGTTTCAGACTTGTGTCTGTTGATTTATTTTTCAAAACACAGTTTTGCCATATAACCCAGGATGGAACCCACAACCCTCTTGCTTCAGCCTCCCAAGGGCTGGGTTTACAAGCACACACCCAGACTCATGTTCATCACCTTAGACATCTGTTGTTAATGCTTAAGGTCCTCTCCCCTAACAGAAAGAAGGTTCTTGCCGGGCAGTGGTGGCACATATCTTTAATCCCAGCACCTGGAGGCAGAGGCAGGCAGATCTCTGTGAGTTTGAGGTCAGCCTGGTCTACAGTGAGTTCTAGAACAGCCAACTACACAGAGAAACCCTGTCTTGAAAAACAAACAAAAATATCCCACAAACAACAAAAACAAACAACAACAAAGCCTGATCCTCCAAAGTGGGGTGGGGGATGGGAATACAGAGAATGAGAGGAAGAATATGAATGAATATGAATCACACAATTAAATCAAAATTCAACAACACTAACGAGGTTTGTTTTTTTTTAACTTTTTTGTTTTTGTTGTTTTTTAAGACAGGGTCTATGTAGCCTTGTCTAGGCTGGCCTGGAACTCACTTGTAGACCAGGCTATCCTCAAATTAACACAGATCAGCCTGTCTCTACCTCCCAAGTACTTAAAGGCATGGGCCACCACACCCGTCACAGCACTCACTAACAGTATAAAGCTAAAAACAGCCATAGAGCCTACGAGATGGCTCACTGGGGTAAGTGCTAGCCACATAAACAGAAGCACCCACATAAAAACAGGAGTTGGGCACAGCAGTGCACACATGCAATGCAGTGCTGAGGAGGAGGCATGGGGTGATCCCTGGCACTTGCTGGCCAGCCACTCCAGTGAAATTAGCAGGCTCCAGCTCAGTTAAAGACCCTGACAGAAAGATAAAGAGATAATGTTGACCCCTGGCCTACCGCATCTCACACTCACATACATACATGTGTGAAACACACACACACACACACACACACACACAACAAAAACATCCATGAAAACAAATGTGAAGTCATAAAGGAGTAAACTAGTGTGTATATTATTCTCTGATGCTTACTATGCTTCTAAAATAAGAAGGCTCAAACTGTTAGACTCTCCCTTTACATTCTTCTTTCCTAAGGACAAGAACCTTCATGTTTTAAGACATCAGCTTCCATGGACTTAAAGCTAAAGCACCCACCTTCCGGTAGCATGTCTGGAATGTCAGCCTGATACTTTGGGCCCACTCTGATTTCACCTTTGTCGGCTAATAATGTCTTCACTGAAGGGTCATACACCAATGAGTAGAAGAAGGCATCCTGGAAAACAAAAATGACAAAAAACACCTAAATAAGCTGAATTCCTTCTACGTTTTATAAAGCAATCAAATCAATATCACAAAAATGAAAATTGTAACTTTAACTTCTGAGTATACAAAATTTTATTTTAGTGAACAAATTAATAAATCTTCAAGGAGAACATACTGTTATCATTGCAATAGCACAAAATTACATAAAACCAAAACAAATAACTTTAAGAAGAATATAACATTTTACAATTTGTTTTAGTATAAGAGAAAGCCATTAACTCCTCTGAGTTCTGAGTTCTGAGAAGCTTGCTGGGATGACTAGCAGGGAGGCTGAAGCAGGAGGAGTTTTTTCAGGCGAATCTGAGCTACACAGAAAAACCCTATTTCAAAAATAAAATGAAGCTGGAACATGGTGGCACACTCACGTCTTTAGTCCCAGGACTCAGGAGACAGAGGCAGGTGGATCTCTTTGAGTTCCAAGCCAGCTAGGGATATATGGTAAGACCGTCTCAGAAACAATAAAGAAACAAACAAAAACCTAGCATATTGACTAAATATACAAGTGGAATTTGCATGTAGTTATTCTTTTTTTTTAAGATTTATTTGTTTCTCTTTTGTGTCTATTAGTGTTTGCCTGCATGTATGCCTCAAGCGGGTGACGGAAAGATTTATCATAACAGAATGGTGTCAGAAGTGGGATGACCCCATGCCCCAAGGTTCCCAGAGGAAGAGGGAAACCTGCCGCTGCAGCCAGCCCTGTCAGGCCGCTGAGAGGCATCAGAGCAGCTTCCATATGCTTGCGCCGTCCCTGAGCTCTTGGAATCGGCACTACCGAGATGATAAAGACGGATCCAGATAAAGAAAAACCTCTAAAGGTTTACACTGCATTTTAAAATATATGTAGGCTTGTGAGAGAAAAAGTAACAGGAGGAACTAGAGTAGCTGGGTGTGGTGGCGCACACCTTTAATCCCAGCACTCCAAAAGCAGAGGCAGGTGGATTTCCACCCAGTCTAAGGAAAAAAGAAACAAAAGAAAGTAAAAATAGAGTAATAAAAAAGACATCTAAAGATGAAAAATATACAGAGAGTCTGGATACTATATGCTATATTGTTGTCTTTAAATTGTTTGATTGCCAAGGAAAGAGTTACAGCTGCTAAAATACATTTGATTATAAGTACTGCTAAATTAATCCAACTTATACAGTTTAAAAATGCTTTGACTTCAAAATTTAAGTCTAAGGACGGCCTACTTGGGAAAAAAAATTTTTGCTTGTTTCCACAGAAAATGAAAAGCTGTGGATTCCTTCCAGACTAATATGGTTTGATCAAACAAGACCCCCTGAAGCAGCGGCCCAACTGATCCTACATCCAAAACAGCTGAGATGATGCAGCCATAGATGATTACAGCCAGGATTTCTGTGTTTTATCATGATCCCCATGGTATGGACATTGCCCCCAATCAGTAGGAAGCAGTTTGGAATGAATGATGCCCAAATTCCCAAATATTGTTTATAAATGTTTGTTTTCATTTAAATGGGGTTGGTTATAAATGGTAATAAGCATAGTCAATCTCTCTTTTGACAGAGACATCTTGCTACCTGGACATCATCCAAAGTTCCTCTGTAACATTGGGGCATCCATCTTCAGCCTTTTTTTTTAAATCTAACTAATTAATTATCTAAACTAACAATTTAAAAAAGGGGGGTGATAGGATATAGGAATGAATACTTTGCACTGGTATGGATTTTCATTTATTGATACAACTTTAAGGTCAATTTTGTGATATGTACATGTCTCCTCTTGTTTAGGTATTGTGTTTATACAGATCTTTTAAAATGATATACATAATTAAATACAGGTTATATAGTCACCTATAGCAGTCAGAACTTATAATTAGGTTAGTTAGGTTTTCTAGATATACAGAGATGTATTTGAGATGGATAGGTATTCTTCAAACCTTTCAAAGACCTACAGAAATATGACATTTAAATGGTTTAGGGTTTTCTTAGCAGTGAGACACAACTGCTCCTGGCACACCAATTACACCAGAAAGGATGATGGGCATCGAAGAAACTCGTTATGGATTTGCTTTCAACATGATATTATCCTTCTGTGGTCTTTGATAGAGTTGAAGACAGATAGTTACGGTTATAGTTTCCTTCAGTTATTATAAAAGATAAGTTATCCTTTTTATTTAGACAGAAAAGAGGAGATGATGGGGGAAGTGCTTCTGTGTATGTGTTTGTCTTATTGGAAGATAAATAAAGTACTGTTTGGCCAATGAGGCAGCAAGTTAGGCACAACTAGGAGTCAAGGAGGATTCTGGGAAATGTAGTAAAGAAGTGGTAATCCGCAGGAAGTGACATGGCAGGGAGACTCATATATAAACAAGGGCAAGAAGGAAATGGGCCCCTTCTCTCTTCCTCCAGAGTCAGCATGTGATCCCAGGATGAGGACACCAATGGAAGGCATCCTAAATAAGATAAGTCTTATAAAATATATAGATTTATGATAATTAAGACTGAGCTAACAGATGAGAAATCCTAGTCATTGGCCAAACAGCATTTGTACCTAAAAGAAGTATCTGTATATTATTTGGGGCCCTAACCCAGTGAGCAGAACTCAATCCGGTGGTGGAAAGATTTATCATAACATATGCCTGTGTATCACATCCGCACATGGAGCCCACAGAGGCCAGGAGAGGGCACCAGATCTCCTGACTCTGGAATTACAGATGCATGTGAGCCACCATGCGGGTGCTGAGAATTAAATCCAGGTCCTTTGCAAGAGCATCAAATGCTCTTAACCACTGAGCCATCTCTCCAACCACCTTACATGTGTTTGTTAATACCACTATACAAATCCCATATAATTACTATTATAATTCTGTCATTCTCTTTTAAATTGCAATGCATAGTCATGTGTATAATGAGAGACAAAGAATAAATAAACATACAATTACCACCAACCTACGCCACCGATAGCTTCAAAAGCTCAGTAGGGTCTGCAAGAAGGCTCAAAGGGTAAAGTCGCTTACAGCCTAAGACTGCCCAACTGAGTTTGATCCCTCGAACCCACATAAAAGGGTAAAGGAGAGAAATGACTGCACCAAGTTGTCCTCTGACCCCCATATACACACAGTAGCATCTGTGTCCGCTCCCTACCCTCACATATGTGTGCATGTGGGCAGGTACACACACACACACACACACAACACACACACACACACACACACACACACACACACACACACTAATAAATTGATTTTTAAATAAAAACAAACAAAAAGTGTCCAGTTCCCTAGAGTTAATAAGCACACTGGCCTGGCTGCCTGTTCTTACAAATTCTGCAGAGCCACCAGCATGGGAGGCATTTATTCAAAAACAGAGCACAGAAGGAAGGAATGAGCATCAGAGAGGAACACCCTCATCTGCACCCTGAGCTGCATGTAACTTCGAGAAGCCTCTCGCTGGCAAGTGACAAAGAGCTACCACTTTTGCTAACTCTGCCTTCAGCCAGAACAATGCAATTGCCCAAAAGCACTCCAGTCTTTGTCTTCTTTCTGGAATGATACAGTAACACTCAGGCACAAAAGGAAAGAAAGTCCAGGTAAGGGCTTCGCATGAAGTAATGGGGAGAAAAGGACTGTGATTTACCTCTTTGTCAAGGTAGGACAGCACCGACTCCGTCTCATTCAGCAGGGCAACGCTGCACTTCCCCCTGTTTAAAAGAAAAGACCACACGACAGACGTTACATTCACAAAGTTCCGGATACCCAGACACTAAAGCGTAGGTGATTCATCTAGATGGCAGTTAGAGACATATTGAGAGTCTCCGGGTCAGCTTTTCAGTCCTGGACTCAGAGAACCTGCACAATAAACCTGCATTTACAGGCATTTACAGAGGCCAGCCAGCTCCAGCTATGTTACTAGACAGCAAATCATTACAACAGACACTTTCTATGCTCTTCCTAATCCCTCAATAAAAAAGAACTCAGTGAAACCCTCAGACTAAAAGTGAGAGGTAATCACACATAAGAGCTCTTCAGTCATACCCATACAACCCAGCACATAAAACAATAGACAAGCAGTGACTTCATGAGACCTTGGAAATAATGCACATTTACATAAGGATGCAACCAACTTACCCTTACTGTCCTAAAGGCTACTTCTGTTTTAAGCACAAGTAACTTCTATAGAACATGGGGCAAAGTAAAGATCTACACATTTAGCCGGGTGGCGCATGACTTTAATCCCAGTACTCAGGAGGCAGAGGCAATTGGATCTCTGTGAGTTCGAAGCCAGCCTGGTCTACAGAGCAAGTTCTAGGACAACCTCCAAAGCAATACAGAGAAACCCTGTCTCGGAAAAAAAAAAACAAAAAAGATCTACAAATTTGCGGACCGCTCACCCCTAATGTAGCCCTGACTGTGACTTCAGAAAATGAGTTGGTTTTTTGTTTTTTGTTTTTTGTTTTTTTTTTTTTTGAGAAAGGTCATCACTACGTAGTTCTGGCTGGACTAGAACTCACAAAGCTGGACTCGCCCCTGCTTCTTCAGTGCTGAGATGAAAAGTATGCACCACCGCACCTGGCTGAGAATCTATTAAAAGGCTAACTCTGAAAAAAACTAAGACTATTCGAGGTAGAAGAATTATGGCAAATGCTTCTCCACTGGCTTAAAATTTTTACTCTAAGGGGCTGGAGAGATGATTCGGTGGTTAAGAGCACTTACTGCTCTTCCAGAAGACCCTGTTCAACTCCCCGCACCCACATGGCAGCTCACAACTATCTGTAACTCCAAGATCTGACACCCTCACACAGACATGCATGAAGGCAAAACACCAATGCACATAACATAAAAACAAATTATTTTTAAAATGTTTACTCTAAGCCAAACATCCAAACATGCAAACCCAAACATTACATACACAAACAGGAAACAAGACCATCTCAGGCGGTGGTGGCACAAGTCTTTAATCCCAGTACTCAGGAGGCAGGGCAGGTGGATCTCTGCAGTGAGTTCTAGGACAGCTGAGGCTACACAGAAACCCTGTCTAAAAAAAAAAAAAAAAAAAAAAAAAAAAAAAAAAAAAAAAAAAGACTGTCTTCCTCCTCACATATTACTAAAGTGAAGTACAAGTCAAGAAAAAAGATAAACAAAAAATAAATTAAAAGCAAAATAAAATACAACTAAAATTTGAAAACACTGATCAAATGACAGTATTCTGAGTGGGCATGGGGGTGCACACCCTTTATCCCAGCACTCAGGAAAACAAAAGCAGACAGCTCTTCATGAGTTCTAGGCCAGCCAGGGTACATAGTGAGATTCTGTCTCAAAATAAATAAATAATATTAAGACAACTTAAAATTTTAGGTGATCATTTGCTAAGATCCTGAGGAGGGAAGTGCCTTTTTTTTTTTTTTTCCAAAAATGTATTTGTTTGAACCAGGAACAGTAGCTCACACTTGTAATTCTAATGTTCTTAAGGCCTGAGATTGCAGTGTATTCTAGGCTTCTCTGGATGTGTTGGCTTGAAAAGGAAATGTCCCCTACAGGGAATCTTAGTGCTGGGTTGTCAGTGGGTGGTGCTATTTGGGAAGGTTGGGTCTTGCTGTTGGGAACTCAGCTCTGGGGGCAGGATTTCAGATTATAGCTCCTTTCCACTTCCAGTTCCCTCTCCCTGCTTCCTGTTTGCAATTGAAGAGCTCTCAGCTTCCTGCCCTGCTTCCTGTTTGCAATTGAAGAGCTCTCAGCTTCCTGCCCCTGCTACCACGCCTGCTGCTTGCTGCCTTGCCTCCCTGAGGTGGTGGACTCTCAATCCTCTGAAGCTACATCCCAAATAAACTCCTTCTTCTGCAAGTTGCCTTGGCTGTGGCGTTTTATCACAGCAGCAGATGAGTAACTAATACACTGGGCCATTGTGTGAAACCCTCCTCAGGGAACAGACTAGAACTGTAAGAACAGAATATGTAGAAGCCATGTTGCAGTTCAGAGAAAGTAAAAATGAGTACAGAATGGGAATCAAGTCCGTGACTGCCTGGTATGTGTGTGTGTTTATAAAAGTTAATTTAAAACTAAAAAGAATAATCCTAAGCAGGTAAACTGCACAGATGCCCGTAGATACTATACATCATAGACGCACAAATACACAGACAGGCAGGTGCATGCGTGTGTATACACACACACACACACACACACACACACACACACACAGAGAGAGCTGCTAATTTTATATCAGGTTTCTTGGACTTGGTACCTTGGCTGACATTTGGGAATAGGTGAACACAAAAAAACGCAAAAAAACACACACGGGGGTGTGTGCGTGTGTATAAACACACACACACACACACACACACACACACACACAGAGAGAGCTGCTAATTTTATATCAGGTTTCTTGGACTTGGTACCTTGGCTGACATTTGGGAATAGGTGAGTCTTTGTTATTGGATCTGTGTTATGGGTAGCAACAACTGTAACCTTTACTCCTAGAAAACAGCATTACCCAGCTGTGACAAACAAAACTATCTAGGCAATTTAATGTTCTGTGGGTGGCCATCCTTCATTGGGAGCCATCATTCTACATGTTGGGGGTGAATAAGTCATGGTTTTAGTAACTGGATCTTGAGACCAAACATTTTAGAGTGCTTATACAAGTAAAGAGTGTGATTTTGTAGATTATCAGATTACAAAAAAGGGGTGGGGGGAGGACAAAGAAGAGAAATAGTCTAGATACTTCCACACATTTCTAATCAAATACTTATTTTCTGTGGTGACACTTTAACAGATGCTAACAAAAATTAACAGAAGGTGATTGGGGAAGCTGAAGATGCAGCCCAAAGAAAGGGTCCTTGCCCTGCTATGCATGGAACCCTGGGATTGGTTTCCTGCACTTCGGAAACTGCCAAGTGGCAGTGCCTACCTAGACGTCCATCACTTGGGAGGCAGAAGCAGGGGGACTGGAGGTTCAAAGTCATCCTTGGCTACCTAGGGAGTTCAAAGCTAGCTGGGGTGACACAGACCCTATAACAACAAAAACAACAAACAACAACACCAGGAAGAGACCTTAACACCCGCCTGAGCAAGTAAATTCAGGAATTAAAAAAGCCAAGAAAAGAAGGGCGAAGTTTGGACTTAATGTCAATGGATTTAGTAAATAAGAGGAAACAGCAAGCAGTGTTTGGAGAAATTCACTGTGGCCATGGCATGTGAAGAATATAGACTTGGTGACAAATATGAAAAGAAACTGTCAAAGAGGAATCTGAGAAGGAAAGCCCTTGTTTTGGCTCCCCTCCCCTTTCATAAGAGGAACTGGAAGTTCCAAAGCAAGTATGGGAGGACTCCCCTCTCCAGGTCAGATGGTATCAGGCCAGAACAGACTGTGCCTGCACCGAGATACAGATGAACAATCCATCAGTACTTCAGGCAGTGTGCTCGTCAGCCTTCCTTACTGGCTGTGCCCAAGCCTGGAAGCCATGGGTGGTTGAAGACTGCAAGGAAACTGCATCTTCCAGACACCACAGGACAGAGGCACGTGAACTCTCAGAGGCTGTGACAGCGCGCACAAGACCTGCACAGGTTCAAACCAGATGAAATCCCAGCAAGGAAAAGGGAAGGAGACACAGGATTCCATCCTTAGCCAAGAACTATTTTGCAATTGATGCCTGCTAGGAAAGGGGGAAATATGTAATCCTTTTTCTCCAGTAGAGTGTCGCTGGGTTTATCAACCACAATCCAGAGCAGACCCCTTGCCCCAGAGTAGCTGGCTAGCATAAAACAGACTCCAGGGTTTTTGTTTGTTTGTTTGAGACAGGGTTTCTCTGTATATCCCTGGCTGTCCAGAAACTACCTCTGTAGACCAGACTGGCCTCTAACTCACAGAGATCTGCCTGCCTGTCTCCCAAATCCTGGGATTAAAGATGTGTGCCACCACTGCCTGGCAAGACTTTTTGTTGTTTTGTTTGGCTGTTTATTTTTGGATTTTTTTTTTTTTGGTGGACATCTTGGTTTTTTTGCTTCATTGATTTTTAAGTTTGTTTTGATTTGGGGTTTTTTGTTTTGTTTTTCCAGTTTATTTCTGAGAGAGGAAGAGAGAGCACATGAAACTGAATGGATGGGAAGGTGGGGAGGATCTGGGAGGAGTTGGGAAAGAATATGATCAAATATATTATTTGGAAAAGATTTGAAAAAAATTTAAAGCATTCTAGGGACTGAGGCTAAACCTGTACTAGAACGCCTGCTTAGATGCAGGAGGCTACAAGGAAGGGGGAGGGAAATTCCAGAGGGACTTCATTATATAAGCTATGACATGACCTCCTCTCTCTCTCATTGTATTTCCCTAAAGATCCCATTCTACTGACAAGACTAAGAAGGAGCAGAATTAAGCACTAAGTAACTTCGTCATGCTAAAATTATTTTTAGAGCAAAATACTATTTTTTCACCTAAACTTCATCTGGTTTTGAACAAGACAAGCCAGTGTTCATTTTAATTGTCTAATCACAAAAGTAATTGAGTTTGTTGAAATGCCAACACAATCAAATACTTAACAAAAGGAAGGTTTTCTTCATAGAGCTTTCCCAATCACTTTACAAAGAAGGAACGGTGTGATTTCAGATCACCAGCACTTCACACTGCTGTCCATTAATGGTTCTCTAGGCTGCAGTGAAAGGTCCATCACACCCAGGAGACAACCCAATAACATGTGGTGGTTTGAATGAG